TGTGTCAAAATTCAGAACACGATACAGTTTGCTTTTTAAATTAAGCTTTATTAGTATCATATAAAAGAGTACTTTTATAATTAGCATGCAGTTATTACCGGCATTGAAATCCTTAGAAAATAGAAATTAAAAAAACAAACTCCATCAAGCTCTGCATCCTGACATATTGTTGCAAACAAAAATTAATTAAGGCTATGGAAGGAAGGTCCACAGAGAATTTTATGTTGTCAAATGAACTATTTTTGACTTTTATTAGTTGTTATATATCCGAAAAACATCATGATACCTAGAACTAAACATTTTTTTTCATAGCCTCTTCACTACAGCCTTAGTATATTCTAAAAATTTTATGTAATCTGAATATATTTGTGTCAAAGTCAATTTTTGAGTAGGTGATGTTAATATGCGAATTATTCATCATGATTCATTTTAATCTACTCTTCACTTATTTTAGATACAATGGCTTTCAAAAGTATTCAATCCAGATTTTTTTTTCAATGTGTTTTTCTTACTGCTGTAAACGCTAATAAGAATCCAAATAGTTATTTATGTACAAAATTTCATTTCGAAAGAATAATAAAACAAATAAATCTCTATAAAATGAAACGTCTTTCAACTGTTGATGACTTTTTTGGTTGACCAAAATGTATCAATCTTATGGAAAGCAGGAAATTTATTTCTATACGAAATAGCAGAAAAAAAGCGACTTTTGTGCTTTTCTGTAAGATTGATACATGTTGATGAAAACAAAAAAACCGTTGTCGACAGCTGAAAGATATTTTTTTTTGTAGAGGAATGTTTGCTCTATAATTCAAATAACATTTCAAAAGATGAAAAACTTGGTTTTTTTAGAGATCCTATTCTTTGAAAATAAATCGAATTGAATAAATTTCGGAAGTATTATATGTATTATTTTTTTCATATAAATTTATACTATATTTTCATGTCTATATCTGCAATAGTTCTTCAATATGTTTTATTCCTACATTCAAATATGAATAAAAAAAAAAAAAAAGGAGGGATGAAAAGGATAAAAGTCCGATCAAATCAGTTGATGCTATGAAAAACAAAACGATAAATAATAATGCAAGAGTATCATATGAGATCTAAATTGTTCGAGTTTATGTAGATGCTGTTTCATATTCTTTAAGTGCTTTAATCGATTCTGTTAATTTGGTAATAACTGTACACATAGCAGTAATACGATTTGGATTTTGAGATTTTGTTAACTATAAAGAAAAAATGAAGATGGGAAGTTTTTTTCTTTTTTTTTAAATATTTTTCTTTACACACTTCATCAACAGCCCATTTAAGTTTATTTTCCAATTGAACAGAATAACGTATATTTTCATTCGATACATTTTCACTTTCATATGTTACTGATGTTTTTTTATTTCGTTTTTTTGAAAGTTTAACACGATCTTTTTTCTTAGTAACCGATTGAGTTGATGCTAAACGTTGTTCATCTTCTCCTATTAAATTCATATATATTCTTCACATCAGTATAAAAATCTTTTTTTTTTTCTTTTCGTTTACCTTTTGTTGTTTCTTTATTACCTGTTGCTAAAAAAAATAAGAAAATTATTAACTTTATTGTTTTTTTTTTTTTTGCAATTGAAAATTATTATTCAACGAACCATTTTCAACATCAACTTCAGTACAAGCAACACAAAGTAATTGACGATCTGGTGTACGAAGAAGAATACACTAAAAAGAATAAAATTATTCTTATTTATTTTAATAAGAAAATTGTTTATTTTTAATTTTATACATCACATTTCGTACAAGCATCACTTAACATACAATAACCTTTAAGTAAATAAGCTCCAAGTTTTTTTGTTATTTCATTATTACGAATACGACGACGCTATAATTGAATCATCAAAAAAAAAAATTTCTGCTGAATTCCTGTAAAAGCTTTTACTTCAACAACAATAGGATCTTCTTTTGGCATGTCACCCATTAATTCAAAATCTTCATCAATACCATTATGTAATGATGAATGTCCATTCATTTGCTGATCGTTCATATTGAAGTTTTCTTGTCGCAAAAATAAACTCGTCCTTAAATGACTGACAAATATATATATGAAAGTCACTTGTCCCCGATATATATCCAATCAAAATATTTTTAACATATAAGAATTTTGTTCGAAAGATGTCATTCATAATCAATATTATTTAATGAAGATATTATTGCTGATACTTCTTTAACACAGTGTTGTGTCATGTATATAGTGTATGGATGTATGATATTAAAGAAGAATCCAAGTTTTATGAAAATAAATTTAGATATTCAAAATAAAGATTGAATAAAATTTCAAAATAGTATGAGTTCTTTCCTTTTCTTATATGTTTTACTAGAGATATCATCATTTCTAATTGACAAGACTGATTCTCTATTTTGTTTTATTTATTTGTTACTTTTCTGTAGATCAAAATCCAAACGAAATATTTATCTTTTTACTCTTCTTTCATTAACAAATAATATAAGTCATGAGTATAAATACGTCATATATTTTAGTAAAACATTTTGACGTAATTTAATTCTAGAAAATTATTCAAATATTTATATGTAAACTGTTATTACTTATATCAAAAATTAAATCAAAAAGAATAGATTTTTTTCTCAGTGTTTAAAAATACTAGTAGAGTTATTTTTTGAAAGTTTGACTAGACATATGTTATTTTATTATAATAACAAAATATGATTTTTGACAAGTTTTTACTCTTTATAAAGAACGTAATTACCTTTAGTTACATAAATGTTCTATCTTTTTTTGACTTTTATTCTATGTATTTTATCTTTTTTTTCTTATCAAACAAGATTTGTCAAGCAACAAACATGATATCATCAAGATGTTTAAAAACGAAGATATATGCAAGAGATAAAAAAAAACAGATTGTGCAAATTCTGTAGCATTTAGTGAACTCGAATTGACGAATTATAATTATTAAAAGTAATACACTTGTAACTAATCAAAATATTTCTTTTTGAATGTGATTTTTCATTAGTTTATCTGCCATTAAAAAACTGTAAGAAAACAGCATAGTCTTGCTAAAACTTGTTTTTTGTTTCGTAGGTATTTTTGAAAGTATAAAGATCATATGGATCTTCAGTAGCCTGTGCATGTTCTTTTTAGTTAAGTTGTAAGAATACGATTTAAGACAATAAGGAGTCTTTAGATCTGTATAAATATCTGAAAGTTTTGTTATTATCTTGTTAATAGGAGAAAATCCTTAAATCTTCCTCATTGGACTGTCTTTTAGAAGTTAGGTTGATCCAAACTTCAAAACAAAAAAAAACACTGTAAGCGATTATTTATAAATTTTGATTTTTTATATCGATTTAGTTCTCAGTATTGAAAATGTAAATACTGGATATGCCTTAATTGACTGTACAAATCCATACAACATGAATTGAAGTTCTTACTACGTCTATATACTTTGAATATTTCAATACCGTTGATATTGTGTATGTAAGGAATTCAATTATTCTTTTTTTAAACATTCATCTAATGTCAATTCCATGTTCATTTATTTAGGGTATCTATTGAAAATAGATGTTCATCATATTTCAATGACCAGCGTTTTGTATTGTACTCTTTTACATAAACATGAGAGAAAATAATTCAGTAGAAAGCAGACTATTAAAAACGAAATGTATGACAAGGCTTTAATTACTACGTCTCTAAGGCAGTTTTTATAGAGAATCTTGATCAGTTTTGTAAAAAAAAAAGAAACTAATTGAATTCCGTACATCTTCATGATCAATGATACTGAATTATTCAAAGTATATGGACATAGTTAGTACTTCTTTTCATGTTGATTATGTGGAAATGTACAGTCAAATAAGATCTATTTAGTGTTGCAATTTACTGTCATTTTTCCGAAGTGAAAATCGATTTAACTTATTAAAGTAAGCTTATAGAGAAGAACACTTATTGCCATGATGATCCGCTTCTCAAGCTCTATAGACTAATATGCAGCCGATTGAAAACGGAGACTTACATTTGGAGATCTTCTCTTAGAAACCAAGGATATTTTTACATTTGAATTCTTTTAAGTTATTTTTAGTTTAAAAGACTCATGGTTTTTATATTTATAAAATATTATTTAGTGTTCGAAATCACCATATCTCTTTTCTAAATCGAAAGAATTTAATATGAAATCTACTAATATAACTATACTGCTTTGGAAAACTGAAAAGAAAAGCCTTTATTGTTTACAATGCATTAACGTTCTTGATGAACATAAGAAAAAATTTTATTGAATTGCGAATCGATAAAATGATTTTCAGTAAATGTATCTGAGTAATTAGATTCTTTTTCTGGTAAGGAATATATAGTTACATCTAGAATCCATCGAGTTCAAGATTTTCGAACTCCGACTTAGTCAAACCATACTTTGATAATCTCAATAAAATTTTTGAATCAGAATTGATTAGTCAGCCTAAATATGCGAGATACTTTTTGCTGGCTTTTTTTAATATTCAGTAACCAGCGCATTCTACACATTTGTAAGACGACTAGAGCCTTTCGGATTCATGTTTTCATATCTGAACCGGATCAGGTGCGCTCTAATCTCATCTTTTAGAAATTACCTTCTCGATCTAATCGAGAAGCAAATATAGACTAATGCTTATTTTGAAACAGATATTAATCATAAAAATAAAATTTCGTTGAATAATTTTGTCGAAAATAAAAAGAGTAGTTTATCCATAAAAAAAACAATATATGGATTAACTATATTTATTTCTTAATGCTAATGTAACAAAAAAACTTGATGAATTGGTTTCATTACTTTATATTCAATTATTATTTTTATCTGTATATAAAAGTATATCTTTTTTCTAACGATTCACGTTGGCGTCTCTCAATGGTTTCAAGTGACTAAAATGATTAGTCATGATAACAGGTAAAAGCATAACGTATAAAGAGAAACAAAAAGCCAACAACATCTAATCAGTTTTCAAATAAGTTTATTTCAGAGAAATCAACAATGACTTGTGAAGAAAAACCAAAACGTCGTCGTATATTAATAATTAGTGGTGATGAAAGTATTCTGAATGAAATAAAAAATAGTAAAAATGTTGCATTATGTAAATCACTTATGCTTGAATCTGACGATGGTGAGAATGATGATGATATGGATCTCTCTTATCCTGAAGTAAAAAATTAAATATTATTTTTCTTTTAAAATTTCATTTTATTTTTAAAGATTAATCAACTATCATCACATTTGAAAAAAACCAAAAATTCTTCATTAATTTGTGTTATTTGTGGAGCACCAGCACTTGGATATAATTTTGATGCAATATCATGTGAAAGTTGCAAATCTTTTTTTCGTCGTAATGCTTTAAAAGATCCAGTAAGTTTTGATAACAAGTTAATTCTCTTATATGAATTTCTTTTACAGCCACTTGAATGTCTTCGACAAGGCTTATGTGAAATAACATTTGATTCTCGTCGTCGATGTTCTGCATGTCGTTTAGCGAAATGTTTTAAAAATGGAATGCGACGTGATCGACTTATAATGGTATTTAATAAAATAATATTCATATGAATTTTACAATATAAAAAAAGAACTTTAGGCTGAACAAAAAACAAACAAATTTCTTACGAAGGAAGAAAATCTCGATATAAATCTTCAAAAAAATTTTATTGTTCATAATGAAGTATGATCATGAATATTTTTTTTTGGTTATTTCATTATTTTTGTTTCTTTTTTTTTGTGCATCTATTCAGTTAGTTTCATCATCAAAATCTAATTTTTTCATTTTACCAAATTGTCTTCAACAAACTTCATCAGAAGCAAACCGAGGATTACTTAGTCCAGAAGATTTACAACGTATTGAATATATACAATTTTTATATCAAAAACGTATTGAACTAGGTAAAATATTTTTTTTAGATTTCATCTTTTTTTTTCTTACAATTTAAATCTAGCTCGTGATGGTCTTCCATGGAATCCATCAATGCATGCAATGACATTTTTACAAAAACTTAATAGTCATTCAGTACCATTGATAAGATTATTAACATTTTTTAAACAAATACCAGAATTTAATCAATTAGATGTTGATGATAAAGTTACGCTAATTAAATTTAATCTTTTACCACTTTTATGTATTAATTGTACACTTTCATATAAAAGTGAAACAGATCAAATTGTTGAAACTGATTCTGATGTACCATGGGATTCATCTGTTATACAAGAAGTTTATGGTTATGATGGTTATTTACAAATGAGAAAAATCTTTGAATCATTTGTACATATTGCACAATATGATGAACGAATAATTCAATTAGCACTTATAACACTTATATTAACAAAAGGTTTTTCAACAGGTGATGGTGAACTTGAACCTATACTTAATGATGGTATGGCTGTATATCGTGCACAAAATTATTATACAGAATTATTATGGAAATATTTGGAAACAGTACATGGATCTGAAAAAACTATTCATGTATGGAGAAAAGTTATAACACATTTTATAACATGGCAAACACTTCATAAAAAACTTCGAGATAATGTTGAGCGAAATTTATTATCAAGTGATAAGAACGAATTATTACCATTGATGAAATCATTATTTCATATATCATAATATTGATTTCAGAAGTTTATTCACTTTCTTTTTTCTCTCTAAACAATTTTATCAATGTAACAATGACAACGAGAGTTTTATTTTTTGAGTCTTTATTTTTTGCATGTAAATATTATTATTATTATTTTTTGTTCTGCTATATTATTGTAATAAAATAATTAACGATAAATATATTTATATCGTATGAATCAATATTAAGACTGTTCTACATCATTGTGCTTTAAAACTGAAACTACTTATTGATAATAAAGAATATTTTCGTCTGTAAGTTACAGTCCCTTTGAAACAGATTCTCCATCTAAAACTTCTTGATATTCTTCGTGACTACCAAAATCCAGTCTCAACAATTAAATATCATTCAAGAGTATCGAAACAAAAGTAAAAAAAGATGGGATATTATTAAGCGGTCAGTAAAATAAATGAAATGGTCAGGAAAATAGATGAAATGATCAGTAAGATAAATGGTCAGTAAAAAATGTATAAATAATCAGTAAAAAGATTAAATGGTCAGTACTTAGATTATCACTCATATAAAAAAAAGATAGGAAAAAATCTGATTTTAATCGATTTTTTTGTGATTAAAAATCGATTAAAATGGGACAGTTTTAACCAGGTTTTTAATCAAACTAGTGATTAAAATAAATTAAATTTATAAATATGCATTTTAACCGATTAAAATTTTTTCATTGACTATTTTACTCAATTTCAGTCAGATTATTCGATTTTTAATCTATTAAAATCAATTAAAATTTTTAAATCGATTTTAATCAATTCTAATAGTTTTTATTTTTAAATGAATAAGTACCAATTGATATCGAGTCGTGAAGCATGGAATTTATGTCAAAGGTCGATCTAGCATCATATCTACTAATTTTCCGAGGCAAGGAGTCCGAAAAAACGATCGAACATCTGAGTTTTCAACATAAAGTTTGAGAAAACGCATTTTACCGTCGCCGCCATTAAAATTAATATTTATAAATTTAATTTATTTTAATCACTGGTTTGATTTAAAAAATCGATTAAAATCAGATTTTTCCAATCTTTTTTTTATATGAGTGATAATCTAAGTACTGACCATTTAATCTTTTTACTGATCATTTATACACTTTTTACTGACCATTTATTTTACTGACCATTTCATCTATTTTACTGATCATTTAATTTATTTTACTGACCGCTTAAATAGTAGCCAAAAAAGATTTCAACAAAATATATAACTATAGTAATGACCTTATCAGAAGAAGTTCGGATTAGTTAAAAATCATACAGATGCATCTTCCTAAATTTTCAATCGCTAACTCAACTATTACACCAAATAATTTTTATTAAACGTATATGACATCATTAATCATCATAATAACAATACTATTTCAAAAAACAATTACATAATTAGTTGAATAAACTTTCAATCATCACAACTGGAAAATCAATTAAGAAAATGAATTCTAAAAAACGGCAAATAACTATTTTATACGTGAATATTCTTTCTACATGAAACTATAATTTATTTTTCAAAAATAAATCTTTTTTTCTTGATAATTCTCCTCTTTTTATAAAAAAAATAAAAATTGTTCTGTATACCATTAATCTTCATCGAAATCAAACTGTTTTTGCATAAAAACAACTTTCGATTATTACTCTTTTTTGTAATGTTCCTCTTGAAGGACATTTATAAATCGGTACAAGATAAAAACAAAGGATATACATATATGACATAGAAGACCAAAAGAAAGATATCATTGAATAGCTATTATTTCATTTTATATTACACACTTTTGTATTGTGCGCTGTCCTTCTTCAAGCATTTTCAGTCTGCGTATGCATGCCTTATTTGTACTTTTTCGTCGTCGTCTACCTAAATAATACACTCTGAAAACCTGTTTTTTTTTTCTTTTCTTTTCTTTTGTCTCTCACATAAAAGCAACATATAATAAATGTCGATCAATGCAATAAAACCTATCAGGAATGGTAACCAATGATATTCGCTGGTACAGACTAATTTAAAATAACTACTGAAATATATGTAAGTTGTAATGCTTTTAATTTGTATAGATTTTTTCATATAGAATTTAATACTTTATTTTTTCAATTATATTGACAAAAATAATAAATAGAGGAAGTTGTACTAAATTAAATTGTAGAAAATATTCAATAACTAACGTTTCCTTCACATCATTATCTTCTATTTTAAGACGAAGTAAAAATTTGCAATAAAATGTTTTTTTAATAAAGTTCGCGCCTTACTTTTTCTCATTGATATTTCAAAAATACAAGTGTTCTACTTTCTTTTATAAACCAGATCGAAAATAGATCGTATTTAAAGTGTGTTTTTTGCATCAAAATGTGAAAGTAAGAATTAAAAAATGAACTGTAAACCTTTTTAGGAATAAAACAGAATATTTTTTCATGTAACTCTTTACAATTGTGCTTCATATTCGTATAAGACGAAATTATTAATTACCAATAGAAGAGCATTGGAATAAAAACAAATAAAACACATAATAGGTAGTAATAATAGTCACAATAATTGCATTCTCACATGCACTTGAATCTTTTGTAATTAGACACGTTCGTTCTTTTTATTCGCCTTGTTCATATAGGAAAAAATAAAGCCAATTTTCTTTTTTTGTTACACATTCTGAAAAGGATTTTAACAGTCTTAGTTTGACATACATATGTTTTTAAGAATGGTTTCCATTCATTAATAGTTGAAGTATTGCTGTTATCAATGTATAAAATTAGATAGCATTTCAATTATATGCAACTGCAAAAGTTTGGATGACCTTATGTCGTATAAAAAAGAATAACTGTTTTAATGATTAAGTAAAAAATGCTTTTCTCTAAACAAGATATATAAATAGTGTATTGGAATCAAGTTTTTTTTTTCGTCGTTATCATCCAAAAATGTACGTTTCGAGCAATTAGCTGCTTGCAGTCAGAAGGAAACTGAAAGCAAGCATTGCAAAGATCATTATCAAGAAAGTTCTATTCCAATCTTCACTTTATTTATTTTAAATGTTGCAAAAAAAACGATTTTATCAGACTCCCTATAAATAAATTGAAGCTACTAGTAAAGATCAAAACAAGTATATTGTCGATTCAATCTCAGTATTTTCATCACGCCACGAAAATTTATCTTTTTATCGCTCTTGTTTTTACTAAATGCAGCTTCATACGTCAGTTCAGAAAATGAATGATTTTTACTCGATTTCGATATATTCCTCTTGTGTTGAAACGAATATTTTTTTTTCTCTTTTTCATCTCTGAGCATCGCGTCGTGAAATATGAACTTTTCGTGAGTACATCGACGAAATCGGAAGAAAAACATGAATATAACTGTGCTTCGCGACGTATTAAAAAGAGACCCGTAAATGACAAAAGAAATGCAATACTTTGCGTCGCATTATTACTATGAGAAGGACGGCAAATGAGAGTAATTGTTTTTCTTTGCAGTTTCGTCCTCACAGAACTAAAAAAAAAGTTCCGCAGGTGTTCTAGGTTTTATGCAGTATCAAAAAAAAACAGCTAGAAGATAAAATGATATCTAGAAATCAAGTCGCGCTCAATGTACTAATACCTTGTTTTTGCATGATTTTCAAAATAACTTATTGCAAAGATAGTCATCTGTGAAGTTTTTACTATGATTATTTCTTTCGATTTTAGCAGAAGAATTTGTTTGTTTGTTTTTCATATTTTATTACTAATAGTAAAATTCTGCTATATAATAGCTTGAGAAATGTTAATGAAAGTTGCCATTCATACTTGTTGATGTTTTATTTTTGTCCTTATTCTTCTTATGAAGACAATACCTATTCTCTGTTGATTATGAAAAATATTATTCTTTCTCTTTTTTTGTCTTACTTCTTTTTTCACTCGTTTTTATTGCTTCCTACTGTTAGGATAATGCTTGACAATAGAATCAGTATCACAGTACGAACAGTATCTATTACTTCTTATATTACAAATTCACAATACAAATTGATTGAATTCGGTTCATGATATATTCACAAGCTGAGACTATTTTGATAGAAATGACACACATGTAGGTTTTCGCATAGGTTCACTGTTAATCATTAAGTACAAAAATATTCCGATTTTTCTTCTTCATCTCCGGGTAAATGGCTATATTACAATGTAAACTTCTTTTCATGATTGTTGTGATCGTTTTCTTCAAACGAAAGTTTAATTAATCATACAACAGATATAAACTGCTAGTAATTTTTATTAATGCAATGAATGTCAAAATACGATAACATTCATTTAAAAGAAAATATGTGGAATCATCTAGTTTATCTGTTTAAATCTTTATTTTTTTCTAGTTTCAGAAGATAAAAATTGACGTCGATTGTGAAATTATCTCAATAAACCGTTGATCTACATTAAGTTTAATAACAAATTTGAAATGTGAGTGAATATGATTATCTAAGTTATTGATTCATGGTAAAGAAACAATATCTTATTTAATCAAAGTTTATTTTTTTTAGAAAAAACGTTTTTTTCAATAAATGGCAACTGCAATGAATTTCAACCAACGTCAAATAACGGTCCGGACTAGCGATGAAAGATTTATTGACCAAATTCGAACTAATAATAAACCGTCATCATTCGAAACATTTTTTTTCGAATGTGAAGGAAACAAAAATCGAATGGTAACAATTAAAATCTTTCTCCTAATGTAGAAGACAAATCATCTATTATATTTGCAGCCACCAGAGTATAATCAATCAACAAATCGTAAAAAGACAAAAAGTACTTCATACATTTGTGCTATTTGCGGATCATTAGCTCTAGGACGCAATTTTGGTGTCATCACATGTGAAAGTTGCAAAATCTTCTTTCGTCGTAATGCACTAAAAGACCCGGTGCGTAAGAAATAGTTCTTTGCTTATATAGGATGATGTCACGCTTTCATTCGACCTACTTTTTGTTTTATGTCCATATATAGGAAACATTTCATTGTCGTCGTAATAATGCTTGTGAAATAACATTCAAAACACGAC